TTAATTTTTAAATTTTCCAAAAAATCTCAAATATCAATGTATATTTTCTGTATAAAATTCCTTATTCAAAAATATTGAAAATCAAAACTATTCAAATAAAGGGGGTAGTCCAGCAAGAAATTTTCTGATATTATTTAGGGGTAGATCCTAGAATAATATCTAGAGATTTCAAATTTCAAAAAATATATTATATTAAATATATGTGTATTCATTCCCGTTCTTTTCCTTTTGATTTGTTTTATTTATCTAAATTCTTTAATCTTTAAATTTTCAAATTTTTCCAAAAATCAATATATATTTTCTTTACAACATCCCTTATTCAATAATATTTTAAAAAATAATCATTCAAACAAAGGGGGGTAATCCAACAAACAATTTTCTGACATTATTTAGGGGGGATCCCTAGAATAATGTGTAGAGATTTCAGGCTTCAAATAATATGTTGCTTTGAAAATATTTATTTATATTCATTTCCTTTCTTTTCCTTTTGATTTAGTTTATATATCTAAATTTTTTAATTTTTAAAATTCAAAAAAAACAATACACATTTTCTTTATAAAAATCATTATTCAAAAGAAATTGATGTATTTAAAGGTCTTTGGATTTAGATTTGCATTAAGATATTAAGAATTCCATTTCAATTCTATTAATTTTCCTTTATATTAATATTCCAGATATTTTCCTTTTGAAATTTCATCAATTCCCTCTTATTTTTTATATTGTCAAAGAAAATCAAGAAGATTTTAAAAAGATATTCTAATTATTTTTGTTCTCTGATTAATTTTATTATATTGGAGGACCTAGTTATTAAAGATAATAATTAAATATAAAAAATATATAATTGCAATAATTCTTCGCAATAAATCATAAATTTTAGAATAAAAATAATAATATATTAATTCGAATAAAAAAATAAATTTTTAAATTAATAAAAATAATAATAAATTCATAATTCAAAAGATTTTTTCTATCAATATTAAAATCGAATTATTTATAAAATCCACAAAAATATCAATGCTATAAAATTTTATAAATAAAATCTTAAAACATCAATATTTCGAAAAATCAAAAAGAATTAAATTAATCCGTTATTAATAAAATACAATCTATAAAAAGAAAAAAATATAATTTCAATAAATAAATTATCCTAAAAAAATAAAATCCTTAAAACATAAAATATTTCCATATTTTAATTTTACTATACGAAATAATCTATTTAAAAAAATATTCATAATTTTACAATATATATTTCAATATATAATTTTTTTTACAAATAATATGTTTATAATATAATTTTAATATATAAATCATTACAAAAATATAATAAAAATAATATAGAAATAACATTAATAATTTTATAATACAAATTTAATATGCAAATAAACACTCTCTCACATCGTTTTAACTAACTAAATCATATCTACCGACCACCCCATTCATTCATTCATTCATTCACTTCCGGCAGAGAGAGCTCTGCCCGTGTTGGGCTTCAATCCGTAGATTGGCTGCGTCGAGCGCATCACTTGCCCCGGGCGGCATTGTTCAGTTCTCTTGGCTGCTCGAAAAAGGCACGAAAGGGTTGCAAGAAAGAAGGGAACTCCAGGCGCTCGTGAGATGTGTGCTATCAACGAGCCAAAGGAGATACAGGTCATGCTCAAGGTCTGCTGTGTGAGCGCACGGGATGGCGCGGCTCCAATCATCAGTCAGGAATCTGCAACCTCCGGTCCGGAGACAGGCCTGGTAATGGCCGGAGTAAGGTTCCGCGCCTCGGTGAACCACAACGGAAACTATCTCAAAATGTTTCCAGTGGACAGTCCAGCTATGGGCATTGACGAAACATGGCAAGTGGACATTGATTCTATTCCATCGAAACGGTTGGGGAGACCGAACATCCATGGCAGGGAACCTGTTCACCTGTAGGCATACAGTGGTCGTGCCGGCCGAAAAACCACAGTGGAATGGCGCTTGGTCATGCCACAAGTTGATCAGGTCTTGAATCGTGCAATCGCCATCTTTTGTCTGTTGAAGGAGGATCGGAGCGTACAAGTGTCCTGAATCCTCAGTGGCTGCTTCAAGCCTTGCCTCCCAAATGGAGGTGGACAGATCTCCATATGTATCCCCGTGCATGGCTTGTCGAAGCCAGCCAACAAACTCAGCAGAATCCTGCTGTGTCCCCGGCTCATGATTCGTGAACCATGAGTGCAAAAGATGGCCTAAACAACTGGTTTCAATCAGTACCCGATGTTGGTTGCTGCTCGCGAGCAGGCGGATCAAAGGATCTTTCCAGGCGCCAACCTTATGCCAGACAAAGGTGTCATTCATGCAGCAGGCCCAAAGTTCAGCCAACAATGCTGCATTCATGTAGCAAATGGTGGAGCCGTTCCCCAAAGAGAGTGCCAAAATGGTTTTTCTCATTTCATCAAGCGAGCTGCAATGGCCTGAGCCAAGGGTGATCTCTGCAAGGTCGATGATCGGATTCGAACAAAGATCATCTGCGTAAGCCCGCTGCCTGTCAATCGCTGTAGGGCATCGTATAGGTCCTGTGCCGGCTGGCCCCTCAATGAGATGTCGAGTTTCCAGGGCACGATCACAGAATTTCACTATTGAATCCTGTGGCATAGGCTTCAGGGCTGAGAACCGATGGATCAGGTCCGGTTGAGCTACTAGATTGTGAATCTTCTGGATCAATGTTGCGGCTTCCTCTGAGGGGAGGGGATCCCTGGCTGCCGGCTTCAGAGTCTTCTCTTTGGAATCCCATTGAAGGTAATTCCAGGAGTTAGTTGCCGTCAATATTTGTTTGCTCTGAAGCGTTCGAATCAATTCGTGATCGTTTGATCCGAAGGGCAATTTGGAGGCTCGGAATGCCAGCTCCTCGAACACTAACCGAAACATATGTTACCTCAACTAGGTGGTAATCTTTCCCAATTCCCGCTGCCCATGCCAGTCCTTAGAGGTCTTCAGCATCAATGGCAGGATGCTGCCTTTTCCTGCTTGGACAAAGAAGATAAAGCTTTTGTTTAGATAGATCTGATTCAGCTGGTCCTCCTAACGAAGTGTCAGCTTTGCTATCATTGAGATCAAATTACCATTTTCGCCCAAGTCCGAAGCCGAGGAGCGCGAAGGCTTCCTCTACCCCTTTCGTACAAGTCGGCGGTCTAATGACTTATCCTCCTCCTCCGTTCTAGGACATTTTGCAAAGTAACTGCCACAAACATCCATCAGCTCGACAAAAGATTAATCGTCTCCGTTCATACGTTCCATCTCTAAGTCCGAGTGCAAGACACCGATGAAACCAGTCTTGGGCCAGTACGTGTTCTAGTTTAAACAACAGACTTTGGAAATGAAACTGCTAAATCACTGCTGAATCCAAGCTGTTAAATGAAAAAAAACAATGTCTGTGTACTACAGGAGCTCCTGTTCCGCTAAGTCCCAAACCCAATAGCACGGTATCAACAAGATACAAAAGATTACAAGCTAGTGATGTACGAAGACCTCAAGGTCAAGATGCGGAAGGTCAAACAAATAAGTCATCCAATATATGAAATCATAGAACCATTTCAATCGGAATTCAAATCAAAAAGAAATATTCCAACCGAATATATAGAGCTTAAATACCGTGGTCCACAAAAACCAGGACAAATCGCATATATATTCCGGAGTGTATATTCCGACCACCCCATTTTATTCAAAATATTTTAATTTAAACAATTAATAAATTTAAACTAATTAAATTCTTATTTAACAAATTAATAATTAATATAAAACGAAAATAAAAATATATATCATTTATCATTCATTATAATTATTTTAATTAATTTCAATAATTCAAATTCCAATTAATTCTAATTTCAATAAATTTAATTATAATTAATTCTAACAATTCTAATTAATTAATACGAAAAATATATATAATAAAAAAAAAAAAAATATTCCTATAAATCAATTTATTTATATAAGAATTTTTTATCGTCGATTTATCCGGAAACTACTTATATATTTATATAAACATATTATTAAAAATAAATATATATACATATATTTATCGTATTCAATTAATATATATATAAATATATATAAATTCCTAAATACAATATAGCAATATAAAAATATATTAAATATAAAAATATTATAAATTATCCAAGAATCTAAAAATTCTTTAATAGAATTATCATAAAATATATTATTTCGTATATAAATTCCGGATAATATAAAGGAATTTGGTTTAGAAAAAAGGTTATATATGTAAAGAAAGGTTAGACGGATTATTAACAATGCCCAAACATTTCAATTATTAAAGTGCGTAGAACACAAAAAAAACCAAACTAATTATAAGCACCACTAATAAGCAAAAAAAGACAGACTAACATCTAGAGAAAGCCTTATTCAGCAAAAAGTAGGCTTCATCTATAGAGTTTTTTGTAACAAGTCGCTAGCGCTCTATACCGAATTACGACAATATATATATTTAGGATATATATAAAAAGGCAACTTTAGCTTACGTCCAACCCGGAAATAAAATTTAGACGTAACGGCCTAAGCAATCAATTAGCCAATGCAATTTTTAAAATTCATTGTCTTAGTAAATAATCCTATTCATTGCGGGTGTTATTATAATGTTGTTTTCCATACAATTCAATTTTACAACACCACATTCCGATATCGGTTTTTAATCTGGAGTTTAATGCCACCTAAAGAAACAAAAAGCCAACAATCTAACAATAATCCCATAAATGTATATTAAGGTATAAGCTTAGAATAGAAAGGGTTCTGTGTTTTGAAATGCAATTTCACAAATCATAAATATCTCTTATACCATAACCTTATGCCAACAGCATTTGCAAAAGAATGCTTACGCCGCAAGTCCTTACAAAGACCCTTTAAAACGTGGCTCATGTAAAAAAATACTATAGACTATATATTTGTCCAACTCTATTATAAACATTTGATAGTATTAACAATAATGACGATTCAAATTTGAATCAATTGAATTCATGTATTCTTTTGATTGGAAGAATCAATTTATATTTTTGTCAAAAGTTCCTCCAAAGGCAACAACCAATTGTACTTACTGTATATGCAAATACGCACGCCATTCATCTTTCCTTGAGAGCTCTACAAAAAATCCATGCACAAAAGAGGAATTGACCACTTCGTTGCTTCCGTCGCTCTGCGCCTTACCACCTGCGAGCTTCACGGTCACCCAACCCTCACGAGGGCCAGAGCCTTGCTGCAAGCGATAACCTGAGGGCATCTGCGGTAGACTTTCCAATCAAAACCCATACGCCAGCATCCACCGCTGGAATGAGAGAGGATTCCGCTTCAAAATGATGCAAAGAGTAAGACTTACAACAAAGAGCAAGCCCTCGCTTTCTTCAACATGTTTATACCTCTGACTGCATCTACCGAGATCTACCGCATCTTAGAAAGGAACAGGTGGAACCTGCTCAGTCTCTCGCGTGGGAATCTCCGGAATTCCGTCCCAGCGGCAAATGCGGTCACCTCGACTTTCCACTTCTTCCACCAATGCGCCGGTGCTGAGGCGCTCCTGGAACGAAACGACGAAACTCAGTGGCTGGCAGCGACTCTGAAGCAGAAGTCTAGATCAAATGTGTTGCAAATTTCCATGGCACGTCTCTGGAGCGGCATAACACGGCAGTGCCGGGCACAGATAGCTTCAGAGTGATAGCTTCAGAGTGTCTGAGAAGCAGTCACTGACTCATACTGACTATTTCTGGAGCAACGTGGCCGTGCTTCATAGACTTCCTTCGGGCAGGTATGAATGTTTTCATTGCTTCATGGCTACTTTACTTGGATGAATTGGCATGAAGATGCACAAAGCAAGAGGCTGCTATCACTACCTCGGGTGAGATTGCATACAACTCTCACAACTGTAACCTCGCAACGAATGGGGTTAAGGTACATGGAATCGCTCCATCCCTGGAAGTCCATAGGGTCGCAATCCACTGGCAGCGCTTCTTCTGAATCAAAAAAGCAGGATCATCTCTAAATAATCGAAGGGGCATTCACCCGTAGCGTGGCGGGCCGTTTTGGGTGAAGAACAAAGATATGAATGAGCACTCCTTATAAGGAAGGAGTTGCGGAACTGTGGGCCGAGGAAAACAACATGCAAAAGAGGATTTCACCCACAGATCCCACAGGGACAAAAAGCATCACCCGGGAAAGCAGCTCTGTCCTTGACCAGCTCATCCGACAATCCAGGTCCGCTTCTCACGATAATGCCGCCCTTGTCTGCTCCTCCCACCACCTTCCTGAAACATTTGCACACAGGCATCAAACATAATAAGCTTGTACAAGTAGGGCCAGATTGCTTTTCATAGGATCCAAGTAATTAATCCTTTGGCTTAAACTGCACATGGTATTCTCTCCGAAACAACAACTTGGCCCAGGTCACCTGATTTCAGATTTTTTCTACTAGTATAGACTTTCCACTAGACTGATGCTTGGTGCGGAGAATGCTTCTTGTGCCACCCAGGCACCAAATTACAGAGTGGCCATTGGACGTCTCCGTGCTCTTCTCCATGCGGTCCGGCCTCGTGGCAACTCTGACCCCCTCAGAGTTGAAAGGGTCACTTGAAGCCCTACCAAATCCAAGTCTTTTGACAGGCCGGGGGGACGGGACTCAAGACTCGGAAGCAGGAAGTCGTGATCGTTTGCAGGATTCGGAAGCGGCACCAATCCAAACCCCAAACCCGGGCGCACCACCAGTTTTCACCAAGCAAATCGGCCGTCGGAAGCAGAGTTTGCGGTCGGCACCCACCAGTTGCGCAACGCCCTTCACCAGCCCACAGTCCCCACATGTCCCCACCTTCTCAGCCACTCATTGATGAAGGGCAAGCATTTGGCATCTGCAGCTGCAAAGGCATGTCCCCCCTGACGTCTGTGAGTGGGAGGAAGAAAGCCCAACAAAAAGAAAGACAGGATGGGCCAGTCCTTAGCAGGCCAATCCTGGCCAATGAATCCTTGCAGGATGAGCCAGGTTCTGTTGTTAAGAGGCCAATGAGTCATGGCTTGCGATTTCTGTGGACTTCTTAACCGGTGGACAGGAAGCAATGGGCGTCGAACCACACCAGCAACTTCTTTTCAACACAAATGCGGTACCTGATTTCGCCCGGACAGCAACACTTCCACTCCTCGAAATCGAGCTTTCTCTCGCAGCCAATGCGGTCAGCCAGCTTCTCCAAGAGTGACACTGGTGTGATATCGTCTTGTGGACTGCCACATACAAGCCTCGGTGTGAAAAAGGCATCGACAATCAACAGCACCTGATTCACGGCGCTCAAGAAATCCATCGGAGGTCTGATTTGGGAAACCAGATGAAATGCCATAATCTGCCGACTCGGAAATGTGCAGGACAACTCCGTTGGGTCTTGGAGATCCAGCTCCACAAGTAGGATGGAAGGTTTAAGTTCCCTAAAAGGGAGATGTGATGTTGTTGGCAAAGCTCCCTCTCACCCCGTTTTGACCTGTATGTGTGTATCGTCATTTGGGATGGACGATGTATGAAATTACGATTTATGATGCATCAAGTCGGTGCAGCGTCTGGCCATTTGTTCCCAGGGAATCGTGAGATCTCAGCAATGGACAAGCTCTCTATATTAGACTTTGAACAACTTGAGGCTTAGCAGTTTGGCGTGACTCCTCATCAAACTCAGAGATGTGACTCCTCCTCATTGCTTCTAAGGATGTTCATCTTTCAAGAATGCTGAGCTGGGGGGTTCTGCTTTGACCCAGCCGGTTGGTCGTCTTCGCGAATCGCTTGTGACCAGCGAAGAGCGTATCCATCTTCAGCTCTGGCAACCTTGGGAGTCCGAGGACTCGCATGCAAGGACAATGGCTCAACAACAAAGACATGGCTGTGGATAAAAAAAAACTGGATATCGACCGGTTGACCAAACTGGTGTCGGTCTACCCCGCGACATGGTGGACTGGTCGGGCTCCAGACCCATCCCAGTTCCACCAAGTAGCGGCATTCGTTTGTCTAGACTTGACTGCAACAGATGTCAACCAAAACGTGACTGCACCAAATACCGCGCTGTGCAGGTGATTCAACAAAAACAGGCGGCTTGAGCATTCCAACATCATGGACCTCAGTCAGTGTCATCTCCACCACCGATTACCACTTTCATGGATAGCCTGTCAGGCAATCAGGGTGGCTAGAGCCAACGGCACCCCCCCAAAACCGAACTTTGAAGTGATGCAAAAAGCTCACAGGGAGAAGCATGATCGCAAAATCCGAAGTGGTGAGGATTCGATGGAGATTCCGATCCGTTCCCCCTAAGCACAGGTCAGTTTGGCCGTAGTTCTGGGGCTTGCACCTCTCGCGAAATATGGTTCAACATCAGCGCTCAAGCCACCACCGTCTTTGCTGTCTCTCCCCTCCTTCGTCGCCCAAGCCACCGCGCCCAGGTGTCATGTCCTCGTCGCGCTTCCAGCTGTCGATGGATGCCCTGTTGTCGCAGTGGCTCATCCAAACCCACCTTTTCCTCAGCTGAACACTCCCAGTGCCTTACCACCTCCGTGCCAGGCGAGGGAACCCCTCCCTCTCTCTATACAAAAGACAACCCGACCCTTGCCATGTGGAACGCCAACGAGTGTCCTTCAAAGCCCGACATCTCGGCTGTCTTGACACGAACCCACCCAATCGTCCGACTGCAAGCTCATTGGGCCAGTTGCAGCCTGCTGCTTGATCATGTCACTTACTAAGTCTGTGCGTCAAATTATGGGATTTGCTGACCAGGCACATCCCGCATCAAAAGTGTGTGCACCATCTCGAACTCACTTTTGCACCTGGAACGATTCTTTGGCCTACAAAAAGGATGGTCAAACTGAATGAGGTACATGCCACTTTGAAGAAAAACATCAGTTTGCTTGCAGAAACTGAGAGATCGTCTATGTGAACAGTCTTTTTTCAAACATTTCGTTGCGCACTGAGGACTCTAGCTTCTCATTGCACCGGGCCGCCGGTTCCACGTTGCCCATGCGGAGCAGCTTACAAAGCGGTGGTCTTTATAAAGAAGGTCAGAGATCCAAAAGGGGGTCCATCCATCCATGCCATCCATGCCTCCAAGTCAAATAAGTTTTGCGGGTTTGGGCGGCGTAATCCAGGCTGAAAATCAAAAGGACTGCTGATGACCGAATGAAACCAACTGAATCACCGAAAATCCCAGCCCTCCGTGGCTGGACATTCGAAGAAGGAACTCTAGATTGCTGATGAGTTGGAGGGGGATTGCAATGGATTCCATGATGCACATAGTCTAGTGTTACCAAGCCATGTCAAGTACTTTTCATAAATAATATATATATATATGTATATACAGTAATATACCGAGTGGATGATGGAGGGACACCCATGGACTAATGAGGGAGGCCTTCAAAACACGGTTCCAAACCCAATTGACACCCCTAAGAGGTCTTTCAAAGATGGGGTCCATATAAAGCACATCTCCATATATATATATACTATATACTCAATCCAACTTGGGGTAACTGGTGCCATCTACTCAATCTACTCTGACACCACCCATTCCCTGTCCGTTCCCTGCCTTTCTTTCCAGGCAGCATCCCGGGAGCTATTGGCCTGGGCCATCCTTCGCAACACCCGTTCCTCCATGGAGAACGAGGGCTCATACCACTCCTGGGTCCGGTGAGATGTTTGTGTCAGTCTTTTTGACCTGTTACCCTCCCTCCAACAATGAAGCTGACCAGGACTCCCTTGTAGAGGAAAACTGTCTTCCAATGTCTTCCAGGGGCCGAACTGTTCCACTTCTATGATGGTTTCAGGGAGTGTACATATTTTGGTGTCACTTGTTTGAGTGCTTTGGTTGATGTGGAACAAATGGCTGATGTGGATTGATTTTCTGTTATTTTCTTCACCCGTTGAATGCCTTGGTGGTTGGATTGATGATTCGATGGATGGCAGTGGTCGAAAGCCAATCCTCCACGTCAACCCTCCTGACCCCCGAGCTGTTTCCCTGGAAAATGACGGTTTACCTGCTTCCAAGTGTTGTGTCTGATCTCGCCACGCTCAAGTGAAACGGCAAAATTGCTGACTCTCAGGTAGAATGATAGAATAAATTTCATGAATGTCATATTTAGTGGTGAAACCAACCCCCTAAAGAAGGTGACCTGCAGGTGATTGCCTGGGTACCAGTAGGTCCCACCTTCGAAGGAATTTGGTCGAACCCGGCCTGGATGGGATAGGCTGAGCCGCCCGGGCCGCCGCTGGGCCCGCAGCACAAGACCTGAGCGCTTCGGGTAGCTTGATGAGCAGATTGGGTCATTGGACGCATTGACTCTACAGGGAAAAGCAGGAGTGTACCGAACCAGAAAGGTAGATAAAGGTACAGTAGACATCTTAGAAACAAGGTTGCATCAGAAGTGTGATTCCCAGAGTGAAAAGTCTGAAAAGTCATCTTGTTTTCTGCAACTACTTGTAATTGGAATCCAAATTTCAGCACGAGTGGTGGACGTAGCAACCGTATATACATGGGCTCCGAAGTCGCCTGAACTCCCATGTAAATCCCTCTCATTACTGCATCAGGTAGGTTTGATGGGAGTAGCTGACTTTCAGGGCACTCATCAATCTTCAAGATCTCCGGGTTCTTTATGATATGTTGATGCCACGATCAGTTACAAACCAAATCACCTGTTTGCGAAACTGACGTCTGTGAACCTCGTGGTTCCACCCAAATGTCTTGGCCAAAACAATAGCAAGGAGGACTTGCTAGCAAGTGGTCTGAGCCAAGAAACTCGCTGTAGCTCCCTGTCTCTAGGGCATCTTGAGACGTGTCCTTTTAGTGGATGTGTCATGTGTCCTCACGTGTCTCACTGTCTTACACAGTTCATTAGTCCAAGGGGGAGACAAATGGCCAAACGAGCGAAACAAAGGCCTTCTCAGGGCACAATTATTGCCTGCCCGGCTCAGACCAAAGCCAGAAACATGCAGAAACATCATGCAAACATCCTATGAACCATCAAATGCCAGCATACCCCCAAAGGGGTGTCCGAGTCCAATCACCCCCCCTCGGGCTCCCAACACACTCCCTATTTGGGGTGTCTAGGTATGTCTAGCTGCTGTAAATGACATGCATCATGCAAATACCAATTGAATGCCAGGGTTTGGGCTCTCTCCTCCCTCATGTGATCTCGTTGTATGATGCTTAGTTCCATTGCCCTCACAGTGAGCTTGGGTGCCTGCACAACCCAAAAGCACCTGTCACGGAACACCGAGCTGTCTCAGACGTCAAGAACGTGATGTTGAAGAAGACCAAGGTGCCAAGCGCTTGATGAGCTTGGGGTGCCTGAGAGCCTGCAGTGCTTAGGTCAATGCAAAGACATCGAATAAGAATACGCCTTCAGTGCTGAAAAACATCTGAAGCTGTCTGCCTTCCTTTCTTCCTGAAATTCCCTTCCTCTTAGTCTTTGCAGGATCAGGTAGTGTCAGAACTCCGGAGAATCGTCCCCAATCTCTGCTTCTGGAGGCACCGTGTGCCGTGAAAGGGAGCCTTCGGGTGCCATGTCCTGGACTTCAACGCAAAAAGGCACACGAAGTCCAAAAGTGCCAGGGAGCCTTTCATTGGTCTTCGAAGTCTCCGGAGAGGCCCAGATCCAAACACACCCAAAAGGGAACTCCTCAGGTGCCGGCCCCGGCCCCCAAAACCGGTGACGACCGGGTTGGAGCTGACTGATGGTTGCGGTAAGCAATTTCGACACTGATCGAGGCAAAGAGCCATGTGTTGTGCCACCATCGCGCCAAAGGACACGCCCATGACGAAGATGGGGAGCCTTGCGAAAATGAAGCCCATGACGAAGTCGTTGCTTTCGAGAAAGAGAGAGGGGGGATTTGAAGAGAGAGAGAGAGAGGGGGACAGCCTATCAAGGAGACTGGGACATGAACAACTGCAGGCTTAAGAAGGCTCAAAGGGAAGAGGGTTGGGTTGCACATGGCTTAAACAACGGTTGACGTCAACTGCCATGACGTCAATGTCTTTGATTCGGCAACCCACTTCTGTGACAAGCACGACAACAAATTGTTTAAAGCACTTGGATCACTTATATAGACTGTACGAAACAACCCAGGACTATCCTTTTGATGTGCCCAATCCCAAAAACCCATGTACGGTGTAGTTGCATACATTTACCCCAGGCCCATTTACAACAACGATGTAGGTCACTATTCCGCACATGGATGGTCTGGGAAGCCCAGTAGCAGGGCTTTGGGTGAAATTTGAGACCTTTGCCGCTTCAGCGCTCCGTCGGAACGAGGAGCAGGCCTGTCAGGAAAGACAGCCTCCAGCAGTGCTGCTGCATCATCCGCATAATCCTCCATGGTACATGGCTCATCCTGGCACATGCACGTGGAAAGGGGAAGTGGACCAGGACCGACCATAAGGCCCGCGGGCCCTAAATGTGAGACGTTGATCATGAGACGAAAAGAAATGCTACCTCACTACCTTTAGCTGTTTCCCCTGCCTCCTTACATATCAATGCGTGAAGGTTTGAGATCGCTCGCTCACTAGCCTCTGGCTGTTCTTCCCTTGTGCTTTGTGGTGATGTCCGATCCCTTTGTCCCAGCAACAAACAGGAACCCTTGGAACGGTCACCGGTGGCTGCTCTGACAGCGGGCTCCATCCCAGTCCATCCCAGTCCACCCAGTCCTTGATGGTGGAACGGCCAGTGTTGCGGTGATCAAAAGCAAAGACCTTGGGGTGGATGCGTGTTCCACAGAGTACTGCGGGTGTTCGTCGGACTGAGAGAGCATATGTGGTCCAAGCATGTCCAAGTTCCAAGTTCCGTTGCAGCTCATATGTGTGTGTGCATGACCAGGGACATGTGCGGTCGCAAAGGTGTGGTCCGGCCACGAGCCATGAGCGCATCGCTGGGGACAGCGGCGAAACCAAGGAATCTCCGAGTTCCAAGGGGCACAGCGGCTGATTCCAAGGATCAGTATTGGAGGTGCCCACAAACACAGCTATAGTTTGCAATCAATGGTCAGCAGTGCAATGGATCAACTCGAAAGAGCGTTTTCCCAGTCCTGGACTTACACTTCATTGCATGACAACTCACTGGCATTTCACCGCTTGTACTGCAGCACATTCCACTTCACCACATTGCACAACGTCACACTGCACTTGATCACATCACAGATTTCAAATCATCACATTAAGTGCCCAAGGCCTGATTCCGAGTGGGACCCGCACTGAAATCCGCACTGAGAGTGGTCAATTCTTTGGCACATCATTACAAAAACAACGCAACAAATCACAACATCGAAACGCACATCCAAGACCTGCAAAAAGGAAAAGACACGCAACAAACACAAACCATAAACAACAATACGTTCCAAACCACGAAGAAAAGGATCTGACAACGAAATTCACCACACTAAGATTCACACTTGTACAATAACATGCCTTATCCCGAATCTGTACTTGATTGTACTTGCATTGACCCCTGAAACCACCCCAATGTAGGTAAATATTATCCCATGGAGTGTCCGGAATGTTGTAACTTCATCGACTCTACCCGAGGTTAGCCTATGTTAGCCTCGCACTTTAAGAAAGAACCGATGAGGAAACGTTCACCTCCACCATCCTCCACATGATATTTGCTGGTCGGTCCATGGGGATAAAAAATAACATCATTCTGATTCCAGGCGAGAAGCTTTGAAGACCCCAACGCCAGCATTCACAAACTGCTGGTCGGTGGTCTTTCGCAAATCAGCAACGGAGCCCATCAAAAGAAAAAGCACTTCCTCTTTTGCACCTGACATCAAGATCAAAAGCATGTATTATTTATAATGTATTGCATACCACCGCCTCGGCCATGGAAGTGGTACAGGTGTGCAAACCGGAGGGCTTTCAGCGCAGAAAACACACAGTTTCCCACGTGATCTCATTGAATGATGAACCTCGTCCTGCGGGTCTGAGACGCCGCAAGCACTTTGGGTCAGACCACCTGACCGGCCCAGAGAGAGTGCCTGAAGGCTCCCAAACAACACCGGGAGATCGATCCTCGCCATGCAAAAGAGGTTTGGGGGGATTCACCCTCTGCACTTTTTGTTGGGCATTCTTGTATAACATCAAGCAGGATTTGTCAGAAGGCGTTGAATACTCGCGGCCTTGATACTCACGGCGCAAGGGCCCCTGAATCTCATAGTAGAGCTTAACGCCTGGAGTCAGAAGGCAGGTCACTTCTTGCGGGTGGTCACTTCTGCCCGGATTGGGTTGCCTGATATCCATTTCACCAATCTACACCTGGATGTTTGCTCATATTTCTGCCTGGCCCAGACTGGTCCAAAGAAAATTTTGCAAAGACAGGGTAGCAGTTCCTGATTAAGGGATGGTTTTCTCCTGACTCCTAAACCTAAATCTGGGACCTCTCTCGTGAATAGCAAGTTCGGCACCTGAGATCCGGTGACCAGCAAAGCATCAAAAGAGAACAGCTTCGGAACCATGCCGCAGCCACAGAGCTGGTCTTGCTGCCTTGTTACACCTTGTTCCGTTGCCAAGAAGGGGGAATCAACTCGCCCAGCTCACCTTTTGGGGGGGCGAAACCGGGAAGCCGACCCAGTCGTTCACGACAGTGACTGGCGACCCGCATGGAAGCACCATGGAATCACCTGAGTTTGATGCGGTCTTGGCAAGGGAGAGTGTACAAGACCGCATCAATATCCTCATGTAGATCCACAGGTTTTGTAGACGGTTGATTAACACAACCCCTCAATATAGCATTCTGGTATCACAGGTAGGGGGGTTCTTAGTAATCAACAGTCTGCATTGCCATGAACTGATTGAAGGGCAGGGCAGCCTTTCATGAGATCCCAACAGGGCTTCCTTTCCCATTGCCAACAACTATACGACTTGAAGCCAGGAATCGCGGATTGAAGTTGTCTTGCCCGTGAATTCTCAAGCAGCTGGTTCTTCCAACAACAAGCAACAACAACTTTGAGTTGGTTCATCTTCTAGACACTTGAGCCAGCAAAGTGGTTCTGACAATCTAATCAAATGATCAGGGGTCCAACACCTGAACAACACAACACTTCGCAGATCAGCATATCTTGGACCAGCCTCTCTGAGGGAGCTCGCAGTACTTCCCCTCCGGCAACTTCGGCGGCATGAGGAAGTAGCGCGGCCGGTCGTGGGTTGTGCACGGCAACGCACAATGAAAGAGAAGGCGGTCCTACGCCCACACGCACGAATACATAACCTCATCTCTGTTCTTAAATGGAAGTTGACCCTCTCATTTTATAGAAAGATATGGGAACATAGATATAGCCTCCCTCCAACATTCATGCAAGTGGACGGTTTGGCCCGGAAAGGACTTTCCGATAAAAGTTACGATCCGGTGGAGAGTCCAACAACAAATGTTGTTCACACAACATCGTGTGAGGCAAGTGCCTTACTAGTAGTAACAAGAAGCTACTAGGAACAATGTTCTTGGGCAGTACAAGTTCCAGGTCGTCTTGTCATCATTATGATTCGATGACCCAGTGGTTCTGTCACGCAACACATGCACAATGCATAGGCAAACTTTCTTTTGATGACGGGTCCCGGCTAAGGGCACAACCCCAGCGAGAAGCTTTGGATACCTCTGTACTCTGTGCCATTCACGCCAAATTCATTATATGAAAGTTATAATTATACCATACTGTCATACTACTGTAAACGACAAAGGGCAAGGCAACACGTTCTTCGTGTCGGAATGCGATCCGCATGATTTGTGCCTCTTAGTTAGTCTTGTAGCTATCAATCTGTACGTGTGTATAATGTTTGTTGTTCGGTGCATGCATATTGATTTCCTTGCTCCTGCTGTCTGCGCTTTGACTTGGCTCCTCGAAAAATGGCTTCACATTGGCATGATAGACAACCATGGGATGAAACCAGCTGTTTTTCTAGAATGCTTCCTGCTTCCACGGCGGATGGAAGGCAAACATGCCAGGGTCAGCAAATCAGCAAACATGCCTCTCTTGCAATCGCTCCAAACAACTACAGTGGTTTCACAGTAGATAGATGTCACAAACCGGGATCGTGCCATCTACTCTGAAATACTCTGAAACCACCGGTGCTTCCCACTGGTGCTGTGAGCAAGTCCCACCTGTCCAGCTCGGATCCAGTCCAACAGCTCGCTCCGATGAGTCGACGGCTGGGGTCTTTTGGCCGGTTTCGCTTAGAACTCATAATGGTTCATATCGACTGCAGTCGACCTTGGAACTGGGAGCAAGCTAGACACCCACTGAAACTTCAAACGAAAGCCATGCCAAGCGTCAGGTTCAGCACATCGTTCGGAACGGTGCTTCACTCTATCAGCGATTGCAAGATATTGCAAGGATACAACGCGTCAACAAACAAGAGCCCCAAAAAGCATCCAACACCATGGATCACCATGGTCTGTATAGGTTGCCGCCTTTGACACACCCACCTATGTTCCGTCTTTTGGTCGTTTCCGCTTCAAAGAAAAGCCGAGTTCCCAGCTGGCATGCGGATGGTTCAACCCTCAGTGGTGCAGTCAGCAGCCCATGTGAGCTCGTCCGCTGGATAGAGGTCTTGAACACCTGTATAGTAACAAAAAATATAAATAAAGTTAAATAGATGCTGGGATCAGTTCCCACAACATCCTAGGAGATTTCAAGTAGACGGTTGTTGGGCTGAACATCGTTTAAAAGACGGATCAAATCGGCACCGGTGGTCCTTCTCACCCTGCAACTGCAAGTCGGATTGAAAGAATGGTGTCTATCGTCCTGGGACCATCGGGGTATTAGTCGACAGTAGGCCAGCCTCTAGCTGGTTGTCTTGGGCTAGTAGGGTCTTAAAGCACCAGGCATTTGGTGACACTCACTGGCTGCATGTGCTGCGACATCTACACACCCAGGTCTTGTGGAAATGGACTAAAGCCGGCCAAGGATGACATGAGCTTGCCTGATAGTCCCTCTTGAGTTTAAATCTCTTAGTTTTAGCCGAAGGAACGACACAAACTCTCCTGAAGCAGCACCGGCCCCAGAGTCAATCCTTCACCCCAAATCCGAGATATCACCACCCCCAAGACCAGCATCCACTTGATGAAGGATGCATACACACACACATATGTATATAGAATCTATATATTATATATACATATAATACTGTGACATATATGTCATATGTTCATATGTCATATGTTCATCAACCGCAATCCCCTGGCAACAGCCGGAAACGACTGAATAGACCCTCGCTGCAAAGCTCAAACAACTTCTATGTGGTGACTCACCAGCAAGGGTCGAACCACGCCAGCAAGGGTCGAACCCACCCCTCGCATCCTGAGTGCCGGGACCCAAAGGCTGTAGGGCCTCAGTGTGTCTGCATATGTCGGCTGGTCCAACATGAGCAAGTAAGTATGATACCAAACACTCCATGAGACTGCCATGTTTGCATAAATTGGGGTGGTTGAAACAGGGTCAATGTAGGCATATATTGCATACATGGAGTGTCGGGGATGCTGTTTGAACATGTTTCAAGTAACAAGTTCAAAGACAATAAGGCCCTCCCAAAATAATGCAGGTTGATTCTTGCAGGCAGGTCCTTGGAATTCGTCCATTGTGATTCTCGAAACATCTTGAAACAATGGCAGAAATCAAAGGCTTTCCAACTTTGGTCCCAAACCAGCTCAACTACCCGTGGGGACCCAGCGAACCAATCGAACAAGTTGCCAAGAAACATAAACACGAACCAATCCTCCCATGCCATTGCCATGCCCCGCCTTCATAGGGAGAGCCAGGAAGGCTTCCAGACCTGGGACGTTCGGAAGACCGGGAGTGATCGGAGGAGTGATCCGCAAACTCGTTCTGGCAGACCGGTGTGCTGGGACAGACCGGACCAAGTCCAGGTTCTTGGGTTGGGTTCCGGGGTGTTGAAGGGATCAATGTAGTTCTGGAACATGTTCCAAACACATGGAGTGTCTGAGGATCAAAGAAGAGATAGGATCTTTGAGATCTGTTCGGACGTTCTGCCGGTTCAGAACACAAAAGAGGCTTGGGGGTGGCGGTCCTGGTCTGCATGTCGCACAGGGGGCCCTCTCTCAGCTGAAGGTGGCCATAACATACCATGGCAATATTGAAGGCATACAGATCCTGTTGAATCTACAGTACATCTTTGATTGCTTGAATTGTTTCTCGCCAGGTGCCCTTCCACCAGCCCTTAACACATAAAATCGAAGGTGACCTTTCAACACAGCATCCTATCAGCATCTATCTAGAATAACTATCCCATAAACACTCCATGAAAGGAATTGAATATATATGCCCACACTGGGATGGTTTGAGGGGCCAATGTGTGCATCTGTACCATGCATGGAGTGTTTGGGTATAGAATCTAACCTCAAACAAGACCGGATAGCTGTAAATTGTTTGTCCGTCGCCGAGGGGCGGGGGTTGTGGCAAACTTTGGCCACCAAAGCTGGTTGGAGTAAAAGCCAAGCTTGGATCCGCTGGACCCTGCGTACCTCCTTGAGCAGGCAAACCTCAGCAGCGGTTTGCGAAGGTTGGAGCATTTTTGGTTGAGCGTCTAGTGAAATGAGCAACCAAAGATGGGGGGACCACAAAATTGATGAGAGACTCTTTGTTGCCAAAAGTTGCTCCAAGAATGTCATAACGGTCTTAGTCTTATCATATCCTGACTATTTCAGAGTCACGATGAGGGCAACAAAAGCTTTTTGGACCAAGAAACCTGAAGAGAACGTCTGATCCATTGCGTACGGAACTTCGGACGGACCATACTGAAAGTCACCAGGAACAGGATCCCCGTACGAGGGATTCATTGGAGCTTGACCATATGATGCTGACCCAAACGCATCCTGACCAGATTGCATATCTGGAAAACCCAAGCTGGGATCACCATACGCAGGATCAACTTGACTCTGGCCATAATGAAAGTCACCGGGAATGTTATTGTTGGGCTCGCCATTTGTGGGATACACTTGAGTCACTTGGGACTGACCACACGGGACTGTCCCATTCTGGCCAAACTGAACATCGTCCTGAAAGCCACATGGTCCAGCTACTGGAAGGGCACCCGGGCCGTACTGTATATCAGCAGCTGGAGCAGTCATGGTTGGTTTACCAAAAGATCCATCGGCAGGACACATTTGAGGCTGACCACATGGTGCTGTCAT